CAGCATCGTCATCATCGTCATCATCATCGTCATAGACGCCATCATCACCACTATCAGCACCACCACCATCAGCATCAGCATCAGCATCAGTATCACCACCATCATCAATATCACCATCACCACCACCATCACCATTATCAGCATCATGTTCCGCATCATCTTCAGCATCATCAACATCATCAGCAGCATAATCCCTATAATAATCATCGCCATTGTTATAATCATAATAATCAGCATCACCAGCATCATCATCACCATCACCATCATCATCGGTAGTATCATCATCATCATCATCATCATCATCATCATCATCATCATCATCATCATCATCATCATCATCATCACCATCAGTACCACCATCATCATCGTAAACGCTACCATCATCATCAAGATCCTCATCATCCGCCCACCTCCGCCACGCATCGGAGTCGGGACAGCTGGGTGATGGCGGCAAGAGGAGGAGGGCAAGGAGGGCTGGCGGCAGTGGCGCCTTCTTTGACAATGATGCGGGCTGCCCTGATGATCAAGACAGCGATCGCGACGACGATGTTGCTTTTGCCAGCGGTGTCTAGAGCACCCTGGGCTCGCGCATCACATCGCGACAAGCGCGACGCGCGGTTACCTTCGCGCTCTTGCGCGCCCCCCTGAAGAAAGACGAATATCCAGCCCCGATCGCCAAGCGCGAAGTGCCGTCACCTTTGCGCCCTGCGGGAGACCTCGGATAATTGTAGAGCGCAGGAGTGCCATTATCGCTACATCTGCGAGTAACTAATGATGATTACAAGTTGTAGCTGCTGAAGAACGATTTGCCGAACACATTCTCTCAAGAGGACTCCACATCCCCCAACTGTCTCTGCTACACACCCACTCCGATTTACTTCACGTGGCCAGGCCAATTGGCCCAAAGTCTTAGGGCTGATGGCAACACTTCCGCACAAGGAGCGCCGCTTGATGCGCAAGCTACATAAGATGCCCGCGCGTTACACGACCCACAAGACAGTAGTCTAAGGACGAGAAGTGATGTCCCAGGCTCGAAGAGGAAGGGGGCGGGAACGAGGGGAAGGAGGAGGACGGAAGGGGGGCCGAAAAGTCAACGCAGGAACAGCAGGAGGGGAAGGAGGAAGGGGACTCCAGCGAGATAGAGGAGGGATGACAAAGCATGATCGTGATTTTTCAAGTTGGTAGCTGGTGGGTAGCGACGAGGACGCCGTGTCGCCTTGGCGCCCCGAGTGATCAGCTGTTCGTAAGCAGTTAGTGCAGGAAGCTAGCGAGGCCTCGAATAGTGGTGACAATTTCTCAGTTCGCAGCCCTCCAGGGATGGCGAGGTCTAATCTGAACCCCCATGGCCCAGCAGCATCCGAAACTGGCGACAATTTCGCAGCTCGCAGCCCCCCAAGGACGGGGAGGTCTTACGTGAATCCCTGTACAGCGTGACTGTGCTGGGCACCCCAGCAGCCCTCGAAAGTGGCGACTGTCTCGCAGTTCGCAGCTTCACAAAAATAGCGAGATCCAGCCTGAGTTTCCACCCTGTAACAACTAGGCTGCCACCCCCTGCAGCCCTCGAAAGTGATAACACTTTCGCAGTTCGAGGATGGATGGCGAGGTCCCATCGGAACCCCCATAGCCCAGCAGCATCCGAAAGTAGCGACAATTTCGTAGCTCGCAGCCCCCCAGAGGTGGCGAAGTCTGGTATGTATGATCCAGGGTCGAGGGTTCACGGGCCCCCCCCCCAGATGGTATGGTCCCAGGATTCCTCGGCCCCCCCCCCCCCAGATGGTATGGTCCCAGAGACGACGACGACGACGACGACGACGGCGACGACTACGACGACGGCTGCGGCGGCGACGACGCCGGCGGTGGCGGCGGCGACGACGACGATGACGACGGCGACGGCGACGATGACGACGACGACGACGATGACGACGAAGACGACGAGGACGACGAGGACGGCGAGGTCGACGACGACGACGACGACGACCTCTAAACCACCACAGCACCACACCACATCCACAGGGGGGGGAGGGGGGCACCGCAGCGCAGCACCACGCCACGCCCACTTCTGAAACACCCCAGCACCACACCACATCCACAGGGGGGGGGGGGGGCACCGCAGCGCAGCACCACGCCACGCCCACAGGGGGGGGCGGGGGGGACCATCGCGCGGGGGGGGGGGCCCAATGGCATCAGCATTGGGGGGGGGGCCCAAGCCCTGGACCATGTATGCCCGCACGGCGTCACTGTGCTGGGCCCCATCAGCAGCCCTCAAAAGCAGCGGCAATTCAGCAGTTCGGAGCCCTCCAGGAATGGCGAGGTCGAATCTAAATCTGGGCATGACATCACTGCGCTGCCCCCTCGGAGCCCTCGAATGTGGTGACAAGTTCGCAGTTCGCAACCCCCCAGATGGTGAGGTCAAATTTGAATATTCGCTCGGTGACCACTACGCTGCCCCCCCAGTCAGCCCTCGAAAGCGGCGACACTTTCGCAGTTCGGAGCCCACCAGGGATGGCGAGGTCTAGTCTGAATCGGCGCTCGGTGCCTGATATACTGGCCCCCCAGCAGCAGCCCTCGAAACTGGCGACTGTCTCGCAATCTCAGACCCCCTCCCGGCAGCCCTCGAAAGTGGTGACAATTTTGCAGTTCGCAGCCCCCCAGGAGAAGCTAGGCCTGAATCCCCGCCCGGTACTTGCTACGCTGACCCCCCTGGCAGCCTTCGAACGTGGCGACAAGTTTGCAGTTCGCAGCTCCCCAGGCACGGCGAAGTCTAATCTGAGTCCCTGCTCGTTACCGACTACGTTGCAGCCCCCGCAGCCCTCGAAGATGGCGACAGGTTCGCAGTTCGCACCCCCCCCAAAGATGGTGAGGTCTAATATGAATTCCCGTTCGGTACCTACTACGCTGCCCCCCTCCTGGAGCCCTCGAAGATGACGACAGGTTCGCAGTTCGCACCCCCCCAAAGATGGCGAGGTCTAATATGAGCCCCCGCTCGGTACCAACCACGCTGCACCCCCCCCCCGCAGCCTTCGAAGGTGGCGACGATCTCGCAGTTCGCAGCCCCCCAGGAATGGCGAGGTTTACTCTGACTTACCGCTAGATACCAACTGCGCAGGATCCCCCACCCTCCGCAACGCTCGAAGGTGGCAGCAGTTTTGCAGTTCGCACCCCCCCAGGGATGGCGAGGCAGGGGGGACAAACAATAGGCAGGAAACTACCTGGAAGTAGGAAACGGGAGAAGAAAGAAAAATAGAGGAAGGAGGCGAGAGGAGGAGAGACGCGTCAGCGATGCTCTACTCGAAACAAGAGCCGAACGGATGGTTGGGAACAAACAATATGCCACCGTGCCTTCAGCACGTAGTGGAGTACTCCAAGGATCACCACTTGTCAAGGTTTTAGAAATCCACTTCAATGTTCGTAAGGGCCTCGACCCCCGATTCCCCGGGCGCTCCTGGGAATTCCTGGGTTGCGTCGCGCAAGCTCCCTGGGCGCCGAGCCAGCCCCAAACTACTCCCAGAACCCCCGAATGTGTCCCAAGAAGCACCCCACATGGTCTAAGAGAGCCCTGGGGACGATTCAATTCAATACATCTTTAAGATGGCGCGACATGGCATCGAGGGGGCCGACGAGGCCTCCAAGACGGCCCAAGAGGGCTCCAAGATGACACCCACGGGGGCCCCCAAAGGCAGCAATCACTGATTTCCTTTATGCTTGAAGAATGTCAGTGTTCTTGCCTTTTCGGACTCCCGGCGCTCTAAGATGGCCCAAGAGGCCCCAAAGATCGCCCCAAGAGGGCCCCCAGACAGCCCATGAAGGCCTCAAGACGGCCCAAGAGGCCCCCAAGACGGCCCAAGAGGCGCCCAAAAAGGGGAACTCGAACTGCCCTCCACCCCAAGATGACTCCCGAGACCGCCAAGGCGTCCTTGCGGGGGGGCCCTAAGATGCCCTCAAAGGCTCCGAAAAAACTCCCGAGACCAAACACCCACGAACCGCCCGCAAGAGGCTTCCAAGAGGTCCCCCTGGAGATCTCCACAACCACCCCAAAGGCTTCTGATCTACAGCACAGGCACATTGGCTGGATGGACCGAAGGCCACTTCATACATATATACCTATACGACCACCCTGCGGGTGATAAGGAGGTTGTGTGTGCGCGTGTGTGTGGTGGCGGGGGGGGGGGCTCATGACGACAACTGTGATGAGCGTGGTGCTGATGGGCGATGGCGGTGTGGATGGCGTGGCGGATTTTTTGGTTGCCGCGCGACGCGGCGCTCAGCCCGCGACGCCCCAGTCGACGATGGGTGCACTGGCAGTGCCTGGTGCGCGCGTCCTGAGCCCCTGCTGCGTGCGCGAGAACTCGCACTCGGCAGGCAAAGCATACCGCGCACGTCAGCGCACCACGCACGTTGCCCACTGCACGTTTTCCAAGCACCCGCACACTTGCGAGGTCAGCCTCCGCTGGTGTTCCTGGTCCAGCCCCGCGTAACGCGGCGGTGAGTGACTGGGGCCGTCCTGCTGGCAGAGCCTGGCAGACTCTTCCGCCGTCCGCTTCCAGCTGCCCTCCCTGCCGAGGACACCAGCGCGCTCTGCCCTGGCGCTCTTCGGCATCGCCGGCCTCCGATTCGCGCGAGGCGCCTCCCTGCGGGATATCAGCGCTCGATGCTTGCGCTTCGCTCTCTCTCTGCGAAGTCCTCTTGCCCCGCTTGGCAGCCGCCAGCTTCTTACGGGGTGCGCGCTGAGGGCGCTCGTCGCGGATCTTGTCGTGGACGCGATCCTTGCGGAGCGCGCGATGAGTGCGCCGCTTCCCAACTTTCTTCTGGCGCGCTGTCTGCGCAGACAACCGGGCTGGTTTACGCAGCCACAACGGTTTGCGAACGGCCCTCGGTCGTTCGCGCGGCTTCTCTGGGTTTGGATCCACTGCGGATGCGCTGTCAGAGACTGGCGCGTCGCCTGCTTCTCGGCCTGGGGCACCTGGAGCCACGGCAGGCTGGAAAAAGGGAGCTATCCCAACCTGCCCTTTGAGGGCGCGACAACAGGCCGAGCGGAGAAGCCCCGTGGACTGTTGGGTGTCCGTAGCTGCGACCCCCAACGAGGCCGCCAGCGCACGCAACTCTTTCTTGTTCATGTTCTGCGCGTCGGTCGAGGTGACACGGGCCGCCCCCGCGGCCGGGTTCTGCGTCGCGGTGGCGGAGACGGGCGATTTAATCTGCGCCTGGCTCGAGCTGGCAGCGCGAGGCCCCGACGCGGGCTCGCGCGAAGCTGCTGGCGCCGCCAGGTCGGAGCTGGCAGCGCCTGGCCCACTCGCGCCCGCCCGGGAGCGCTGTCGCCGCGGGGCCTGCGGGAGGGCGCGACAGCACGCCGCCTGGAGCGCCTCCGAGCACTTTGTGTTCTCCCGAGTCCCGACCCCCAACGAGGTCGCCAGCGCACGCAACTCATTCCGGTTCATGTTCCGCACGTCGCTGGAAATGACATCGGCCGCCCCCGCGACCGGTTTCCGTGCAACCGTGGCGGGGGCGGACGGCGCTACCTGCGCCTGGCTCCAACTGGAAGAGCCGGGCCCACCCGCGCGCGCACCTGGTGCTCCCACCGACGCGGGCCCGCGTGAAACGGACGGAGCGGCCAGGCCGGAGCTGGCAGCGCTTGGCTCGCCCACGCGCGCCGGGGCCTGCACCGACGCGGACCCATGTGAAACTGACGGCGCCGCCAGGTCGGAGCTGGCAGCGCCTGGCTCGCCCGCGCGCGCCAGGGAAGGCTGCCGCTGAGCGGCCTCCCGCAGCTTGCAATCCTCGCACACTTCTTTGACTGCGCGCCACTGCGTCGGCGCCGCCGGCTTCCTGGTGGGGGCTCCAAGACTGGCAGCGTACTTGGTGAGCTCCGCCTTCTTCAGGTCATCCACGCGGCCCCCCATCTCGTGGATAGCCCGGCCGCAGAAATGCGCGAGGAGGGTGCCCTGGGGGGGTTAGCGCGACCGCAGTGGGCGCCTTGAGCCGGAGGAGGAGGACAGTGAGGGGCAGGAGAAGGAGGAGGAGGAGGAGGAGGAGGAGGCGGAGGAGGAGGAGAAGGAGGAGGAGGAGGACGAGGCGGATGAAGATGAAGACGGTCATGATGATGATGGTGATGGTGGTGATGACGATGAGGAGATGCTGATAAATGCAAATTCACACAAGCAGGGGAACTGGAAGGACGGCGTGGCCAATAAATGACGGCATTTATTTGTCCTCTGACGACTAAGTGGTCCAAGAACGGCACCCCCCAGCCCATGATACCAAACGAAAGTGGCCGCCATCCTCTGAGGGGGGAGGAGAGGAGAAGGGAGGCGATGACTGGCAATCGAACCTTCGTCCTAGCAAAAAGGCGACGAGCTGACCGACTTGCGTCGCATGGCCTGAGCCCTTGAACCGAACTAAAGATCTAAGTAATTAGGTTGAGAAAAAACACCCCAAAAAGAGGAATGATACGAGGAGGAGAAGCAAGAGAAGGTGTCCCATGATGAGCAAACATGATGGTGTCCCATGATGAGCAACCATGATGAGCAACCATGATGAGCAACTGGCGGGACAACGATGAGCAACCATGATGAGCAACCATGATGGGCAACCATGATGGGCAACCGGCGGGACAATGATGAGCAACCATGATGAGCAACCATGATGGGCAACCATGATGGGCAACCGGCGGGACAATGATGAGCAACCATGATGAGCAACCGGCGGGACAATGATGAGCAACCATGATGAGCAACCGGCGGGACAATGATTAGCAACCATGACGAGCAACCGGCGCTACAACGATGAGCAACCATGATGAGCAACCATGATGAGCAACCGGCGGGACAATGATGAGCAACCATGATGAGCAACCGGCGGGACAATGATGAGCAACCGTGATGAGCAACCATGACGAGCAACCGTGATGAGCAACCGGCGGGCAACCGACGGGACAACGTGGGCTACCGCTTGACAAGGCCGGGGGGGGGGAAACATTTGTGTTGGCGGACCCCTAGCGACAGCAGGGTGAATTCCTCTCGCTGGCCCACGCAGCTTCGCCTCGCCCGCACGCACGGCACGAGCACGAACTCGAAACTCGATTTCCCGGTGGGGGGACTCCGTTACCGTTACACTGCGATCTCACCCCCCAACCTCCGATATATATATATATATATATATACAGTCATGTGTATATAGATGTATAGTTGCCATTCTGTATATAAGTATGAATGTGTACCTATACGACCACCCTGCGGATGATAAGGAGGTGAGGGGGGAGGGGGAACCAACGTCTCACTCAATCGATCTCGCCATCGACCTCACATTCGGTCTCACATTCGGTCTCACATTCGGTCTCACTATCGATCTCACAATCGATCTCACAATCGATCTCGCAATCGATCTCACTATCAATATCGCAATCGATCTCGCAATCGATCTCACATTCGGTCTCACATTCGGTCTCACAATCGATCTCACTATCGATCTCAAAATCGATCTCACAATCGATCTCGCAATCGATCTCACTATCAATATCGCAATCGATCTCGCAATCGATCTCACATTGGGTCCCACATTCGGTCTCACATTCGATCTCACAATCGATCTCGCAATCGATCTCACTATCGATATCACAACCGATCTCACTATCGATATCGCAACCGATCTCGCAATCGACGTCATCATCATCATCATCAACATCAACATCATCAACATCATCATCATCATCATCATCATCATCATCATCATCATCGTCATCGCCATCATCAACATCATCATCATCATCATTACCATCATCATCATCATCACCATCATTATCATCATAATCATCATCATCATCATCATCATCAACATCATGATCGGGACACCGACGGGACACCGACGGGACACCGGCGGGACACCGGCGGGACACCGCGCGCCACCGGCCGCCCGGTGGAGAATCATTTGGTCCGGCCGCGCCTCAGCCACAGAGGACACCACCGGGACACCGGCGGGACACCGCGCGCCACCGGCCGCCCGGTGGAGAATCATTTGGTCCGGCCGCGCCTCAGCCACAGGAGACTTTCCTCTCGCCCGCCCACACAGCTTCGCCTCGCCCGCACGCACGGCACGCACGAGCACGAAACCGAAATCGATTTCCCGGTAGGGGGGCTCTCCGTTCCACTTCGATCTCACCCCCTCACCTCCCATAGCAGTGTGTGTGTGTGCGTGTGCACTCAGGTACTTGCCACAAAACATGATGTACATATCTTGTTGAACGTCTCCCGCTCACGGCTTACCCCGAAGGATGCCCACTGCATTTGCTCGGTGGTACCTGTGGAAACAATATCATGCTCAAGTTCCTGCCCGGGAAAGGGGGACCCAAAGAACACCAAGCCTCTTCCGCTACCTGAGAGGGGAGGGAGGAGGGAACGGAGCCCAGGATGGGAAGAAGACGTCAGGAAACAACTCCTGGGAAGTATTCGAACAAAAACGATGACGTACACTAAAACGATCAAGCTGGCTGAAGCGGGATTGAGCTGGAGTGCGCCAGACCACGGCAAGTTAGGACGATTTGCTCCCACAAATATGCCAGCGCCGATGCTGAATGAACCTCCCAGGAGTTGCATCGGGAACAGGCGGGGAAGCAGAGGAACACTTGCGGCGGGCACAAGATGGCACAAGAGGGTAGACGAAGGGGGAGAGGCTTTCAGAAGGAGGCCGTTTCTTAGCAGGCGCTGGCCCTACATATACAGCGAAGGCCGACTCCCCCTACCCCTGCCCTCTTAGGAGCAGGGTCCTTCTAGGAAGCAGGGAAAGGCTTCTTGGAAGCAGGGTGCTTCTAAGAAGCCCTTCCCCCTTCCCCTGCCCTCCACTGCGCGTGGCTGAAGAAGAACTGGCGGGGGCTGCAGGCGACAACCGGCCCCCCCCGCGGACCTTGCAGCGAGGCGTCTTGCATCGGAAGCACTCCAGGCGCTTCACGAAGTTGCGCTCCCCGCCTCCGCCAGCGATTATCTTTGCTTTGTGATGTTTGTTTGTTCTTGTATTAGTACCCTCTTTGTGGGTAGACATACATGTATACATTCCAATGGATGTCTATAGCGATATCTATGTGCATAAAATTTAGGTAGACATGCGCACACTGATGTGTTGCGTAAATGTATGAGTGTTTGGAGGGGGTGGTGATACCTAGGGGTGGGTTCGCTCGTTTTATTGCCTTTGCACCCTGGTTCGCCCGGCGCTCCATCCTGAAAGATCCTGACCGTTCCCCTGATCTGACTCCTCCTGCTCCTACCGCCTCCTGCTATCAATCATCCAACCTCTCCTCCCCAAATCACTTTCCTTGACGTCCACCTACCTTTTCGGCTGATCCCCCTGCTCAGGACACACATTCATCGCACAGCAAAGGGTGCGAAGGAGCGTGAAAAAGAGATGGATGAAGAGAAGGCAGCAAAGTGAAGTGGACGAGGAGGAGCAGCTCCACCACCTTGGGCAGGGGCCTCGTCTGTCAGAGAGTGACGCACGGCAGCGGGACACGTCTAGCACCAGGCAATTCCTTTGACATCACCTTGGGGAGGCGCCCCGTCTGGCAGAGGGCGACGCACAGCAGAGGGGGCGGTCTAGCACCAATGATTCTCTGTTTTATCATCTCGGGGAGGGGCATCACTTAGCAGCGGGTGATGCACAGCAGAGGGGCGCGGCTAGCACCGAGGGGTCTGTTGAAATCGACCTGGGGAAGGGGCCTCGTCTAGCAGAGGGTGATTCACAGCAGAGGGGGAAGTCTGACACCAGGGATTCTCTGCTTGTCACCTGGGGGGGGACCTCGTTTTAAGCAGAGGGTGGCGCACAGCAGAGGAGCGCGTCTAGCACAAAGGATTCTGCTTCAATCAACTTGGAGAAGGCCCTCATTCAGCAGAGGGTGATGCACAGCAGAGGGGCGCTTCTAGGACCGAGGAGTCTGTTTAAATCGACTTGGGGAGGGGCCTCGTCTAGCAGAGGGTGATTCACAGCAGAGGGGGAAGTCTAGCACCAAGAAGTCGTTCGA